CTTAGAGATCTCCTGGGAAAACTAATGGGGCTAGAATGGGAAGAATCCTAGAGTGCCTCAACTATACTCATGGTTTATCTTTATCCCTCTTTATTTTGTTCTTCAGGGAACAGGCATGGGCTACTGGTGCCCAATAACACCACCGACCAGGAGCTGCAGCATATCCGCAACAGCCTTCCGGATTCAGTGCAGATACGGCGGGTAGAGGAGCGGCTCTCAGCCCTTGGCAATGTCACCACCTGCAATGACTATGTGGCCTTGGTCCACCCAGACTTGGACAGGGTGAGGTGGCAGCTTAGTGTGAAAGTTACAGGACTAACTTAGCCAGTGCTTAGCTATCATTGCTGCAAGGCAGGAATTAGGGGTTTCACTTGTGTTCTTGGGTACTCCAGTTTTTTACTCTCATAGCAATTGTAGGCCTTTGTGTGTCAGTATCAAGCAGGGGAGAAAACTAATTCTTTAGGATTGGGGAGATTGGCCTTTTGGTCCTGGGCCATGGGACATGGTGGTTGATAGTTGAACTTGGGTGTGTATTAGTGAATAAGGTGACATGGAACCAAGGCTCATGTTTTTCAGGTCTTGCCCAGGTTTTAGGTGCTCCAGGCCAGGCCTAGACTCTTAGCCTCATACCTGTGTCTTGTTTAAGAGGCTTCTATGTGCAGATACGTAATCAAAAGCGATCAGGGAGCCATGTCTGGGTGGTTGATGGTTAGAGAGTCCCTGGATATTTGGCCTACATGTTCTGGATCCTGGACACAGTTCCTTTGGCCAACAGGAGACAGAAGAAATCCTGGCTGATGTACTCAAAGTGGAAGTCTTCAGACAGACAGTTGCTGACCAAGTGTTAGTAGGAAGCTACTGTGTCTTCAGTAATCAGGGAGGTCTGGTACACCCTAAAACTTCAATCGAAGACCAGGATGAGCTGTCCTCACTTCTTCAGGTGCCCCTTGTGGTAAGCATTTCTGCCTTCTGACCCGTGTCTATAGAGTCAGTCCCTTTTGTCAGGCCTTGGGAATCTGGGTCATTACCTTCCCCTGTTCGGGACTGGGGTCTTGAGACATGGAACAGACTTTGGGGCAAGAGTCCTCAAGAATTTGCTTTTGGTACAAAACTTGTCTGCAGGCAGGCACTGTGAATCGAGGCAGTGAGGTGATTGCTGCTGGGATGGTAGTGAACGATTGGTGTGCTTTCTGTGGTCTGGACACAACCAGTACAGAGCTGTCAGTGGTGGAAAGCGTCTTCAAGCTAAATGAAGCCAAGCCTAGTACCATTGCCACCAGCATGCGGGATTCCCTCATCGACAGGTAACTTTGCCCTTTTGTTGTTTATTTTTCGAGACAGGACTTTTCTGTTTCTCCCTGGCTGTCCTGGAACTCTTTGTAGACCAGATCTCTTTGTAGATCTCTTTGAACTCGAGATCCTCCTACCTCTGCCTCCTGAGTGCTGGGATAAAAGGTGTGCACCACCATGCCTGGCTCACTTTTGCCTTTGAAGGAAGAACATGTGTCTTTGAACAAAAGCCATGTTGTGTTTGTACTGGGAGGTTTTCCCCAAGTAAATGTGCATGAGGGTGAATGTGCATACTGACTTAGAGCCACAAATGTTACTTGACATCTTCCTTGACACTGAGCTCTTTGGGCGGACCTTTCCTGTGAACGGTCTGACCATGTTTGTGTGTCCACTGTCTCCAGCTAGTGGCCTCAGACTTGAGATAAAAGGAGATGTTGGCTAGGGAAGGTGGAAAGACTCCTTAATCACTGAGGAGACCCCAGATTGCTAAGGGTGTTCTTAAACAGGTTCCAGGTGGGTTTTGTATCAAAATTATGGTCTAGCCCACTGGTTCTCAACCTGTGAGTTGAGACCCCTTTCACAGGGTCAAATATCAGATATCCTGCATATCATAGTTACATTATAATTCATAACAATAACAAAACTACAGGAATGAAGTATCAATGAAGGGAAATTTATGGTCGGGGTCACCACAACATGAGGAAGTGTAAAGGGCGTCGCAGCCTTAGGAAGGTTGACAGCCATTGCTCTAGACTTTTATGAATTAAAAAACCAACCAAGCTGGGCATAGTTGCTCACTCTCCTCACTTGGGAGGTTCAAGACTTTTGACTCTTTCCTGGAAGAATAGCAGGAGCTGATGCTGAGTCGTTTTCCCTCTCTCGGCCTGCCATAGACCTTTCTTAAGGCATGCCATGCCCAAGTAACCCAGACAACTCTATGAGGGTAGAAACCAAAGAGTAGAGCAAGTGCCAAGTAACAGATCCTTTGTTACCGAGGAAGCACTGTCCCTTTATCTTTGCATTTGTTTGCACTGATGCCCATAGAGAAGGCTGCATTGGGCATAATCAGGGAGTGTAGTTCCGTATCCTGCATCTAGGGTTCACAGTGCACACGGGAGGTATAGTTACTATAGATACCTTTTAGCTGTTAAAGGAGAAACACGTGGTTCCTTAATTGTCCACATATGGACAGCTTATGAAGCTGGTGAAAATTTTTCTGGGATTATAGAAGTTTCATGACTGACATAGTCTGCATCAGGGGATGAGGAGTTGTTTAAGTAGGGAAAAAGTGAGGAAGAACCTCAACACTGACAGAGAGATGGGAAGATGCTGAGTGTGTGAAGGATAAAAGTTTTCTAAGAGTGCTGAGGACTTTAAATTCCCATATCAGGAAGCTTTGACTGCTAGCCTGAGATTTTGCACGTTAGTGGGTGTTGGGTTGCTTGTATGTATAGATTCTTAGTGTAATCTCTCAGAGGTCCTGATTGTGGGTGCAGTACAGTCCAACTCTGTTTGGTTCCTTAAAACAATGTCATGTGACCTAGGCTGGCTGTGTGCTCTGAGTAGGGGCTTGTGCCACCACACCTGGCTATGTGCATATGTTTGAGAAATTTTGATGAGGATATTTTCATACTCACACTGACTAATGTTGCTGTCAGAACAATTGAGTTTATGCATTCTAGGCAAATGCTATTCTCTTGAGCACCACCCAGTCTAAGAAGTTACTCAACAGCGTTTTTTTGTGCCACAGTATTAATGTGATTATCAAAACATGCCCTATCCTTTTGGAAGTTGTAATTTTGTAAGGAGACAGTGCCAACCATTAAATTCATTAAAGAAAAACTTCCTAGTAACAACTGAAAAGAAATTTCTTATAACCTAATAATTGATACCTATCAAAAGACTAGCAAACTGTTGTGAGTTATAGAAACTATTAGAGTTAAGCACAACTGCTGGTCACTGGTCAGTGTGTTCCTGGTGGCTTGCCTATGCTGTCAGACAGAGAAGGAAAGGGTATTGAAAAGGAAGGGAAGATTTGTTAGTCAGTGTTCTTTAGTCATTGGACATGTTTTAGGAGCTTCTAAGACTGCACAGTGAGGACAGCAGATTGTCATGGGGAGATGCTATGCTGGGTAAAGTGCTTGCTGCACCCACTGTGAGGACCTGCTGCAGTTGAGGATTCCCAGCACCCACATAAAAGCTGGGCTCCCTGGCAAGTGTCTGGAACACTGGGGCTAGGAGCTCACTGACAGGTCAGTCTAGCAGAATTAGTGAGCTCCAGGTTCGGTGAGAGACCCTGCTCAGAATACAAGTTGGGGAAATAATTGACTCAGCCTCTGTACATGCTCTCACACACAGTGAGCACATCGCTTTCATACCACCTCCAGTGTGAGTGGTTTCACGCAGTCCTTACAGAGCACTCTGTTTTCCATCCTAGTGTTTGTGGCTTTTTATATCAGCAGTAATAGAGAGTTCTGGAAAGGGAGGCCAAAGTTTTGGCCTCAGCCTGGCCTCTGAGAGGCTTGGTCTTGGCACATCCTGTTCTCACTGACCTTCCTTGCTCGTATCTAAGTTCTGAGGTTTGACTTTATGATCAGTAACTGAGTAAATTGGAGAAAGGCGGCCTACTTGAATGAGGAAAGAATTGGTTTTATTTTTCAAACATGGAGAGTTTTAGGCTAGACCTTGATAATACAGAATATAGTCAGATCTGGAACCTTGGTGGGGACTGTGGGGTTCGGGTTCCAAGTGTGGGTTTTCAAGGACTGAACTGAAACAGGTCTGGGGTGGGGCTGCATCCTGCAAAGCAACTACTGATAATACACTTTTCTCTCTGCAGCCTTACATGAGTCACCTGTGTTGTCATGTGGGCTCCTGCCTCTGGACTTTGGCTCATATTCCATGCCTGAGCTAGTCTGTACCGGATGCTGGCAGCAGGGCACGGCAGAGAGCTCACCAGAGCTGAATGGTTGAGTGCCCAACCCTTCGTCATTTGTGCCATCTCTTGACTATTGTTACTGAAAAGCCTGCCGTGTCATGCTGGCTTTCAGTTCATGAGGCTTGGATGAAAGTTCTGCTATCTTGTGCCCCACCCCATTAAAGGACTGCCTCCCACCGTCCTCAGTGTGTTGATTGTGGGCATCCTCAGTTTGCAGCAGCTTCCCCAGCCCTTCCTGGGTCCCTGAAGTGGACTTGGGTGAGGTTGATATGCAGGGTTTCCCTCAAGGAGCTGGGAGGCCTGCAGGGTGTGGTGGTATACACCTCTAATCCCAGAGGCAGAGTGGATCTCTAGTTTGGGGCCAGCCTGGCTATACAGCATGTTGTAGGACAGGCAGGGAGGGATACATAGTGAGACCCTAACTCTCAAACAAGAAAAGAGATGAACAAGAGGAAGTCATGTTGGCCTCTGGGTTTCCGTTTTAACTCCGCTTCTGCCTCTGGCTTCACAATGAGAATCACTGCCCCTCCCGCCTGGGCCAGCACCTTGCGAGGCCACCGGTACACAGCTTAGGGGCATTCTGGCCCCCCCCCCCCCGCTGACCTTGAGGCAATGGGGTAGCTACCTTGGAGGCTACGCAGCCTCCTGTGGTTGGCTCTAGCAGGCCCTTGGTATGTGTGTGGCGGAGCCTGGGGCCCTGGGCGTGGCTAGCCAGTCCCCGCCCTTTACCGTGCTCACTGGGCCCGCCCCTCGCGTGCGGAGCCCTCTTTCCTGTTTGTCTGCGTCATAACGCTGCTCCTCCCTGACCACCCGACTGGCTCGGCTTCCGCTGCGGATCCACTTTCGCTTTGCTGCCGGAGGTGAGGGCTGGGTGGAGTGGTAGTGGCGGCGGGTGGGGTGCCTGCTCTTGCCTTGTACCTGATGGACTTCTGTTACAGACCATGGGCGCTCTCCTCAGTGGCGGCCAGGATGGTCCGGAGCCCGCGCAGTCCCAGCCTCCGGCGCCGCAGGGCCCGCAGCAGCCTCAGCCCGAACCTGGCCCGTGGGGGCCGCTGGACGACGTGCGCTTCCTAATCGCCTGCACGTCCTGGTACTAACCCGGCTACTCCTGGCCTCTGCCCTCCTGGGCCTGGCCTGGCTTCCACCCCATGATTTCCTGTCGAACTCCCTCACTCTGGTCAGAGATTCTAAAAAGATTGTGGAGCCCGAAAGTCCCACAGGGCCTCACAGGACTGCTCCCCAACCTCAGACTTGTTCCCTTCCTCGCCAGCCCCTAAACCAGCTCAGTCCCATGACCCTTTCCAGCTCCGTGCTGGGGCAGCCTTCCCGAGCCTGAAGAGCCGAGACCAGGCAAGGCCTGGCAGGATTCTGATGGTTCAACTCCTGGTTTTCCCCTCGCTAGAACTGAGCTGCTGCAGGTGGCCCAGGCCAAGGCCCTGTCTCCAGAGAAGCTTTGCCGCAGTGACCCTCCCACACTGGGGGAGGACGTCTGATTGCTGATTAGAAGATTCAGGAGGCAACGACAGAATTGTACCCCCAAAGCACCCTTTTCTCTCCAAAGCCTGATGTTTGTTCCCACACCCCAGGGAAAAGACACTGTATTTCTGTTTTATTTAGAAATGATTTAAAAAACATTGTACAAAGGCTGATCAGTTTAAAATGTGACCGACACTGAAATGCTGTGATGTCACCCAGGCTGAGGGGAAACAGAGCTCTGGAAGCCCCGATGCTTTGCCCCTCTGACTGCTCTGACCTGGGTGATGGACAAACAGATGACAGCAGGCAGAAGAGTCCAAGATTGGAAGCCTCTAGGCTGAGTCCCTCTGGGCCCGGCCCTGCATCCCTCCCATCCACAGCCTGGGCTGCCTGCCTCCATCTCCTGCCCTCTCTCAACTGGCCTTGGAGTACCAGGAGCCAGCAGGGAGCCTGCGGGGCCTAGAGCTTTCAGGAAGTGAGAGCACCAACCTGAGGAGAGGGCCTGGGAGATGGGGAGAGTGGCCTGGAAGAGAGGACTAGAAGGGCCCACAGCCAGGGCCACGGGATGGCAGGGGCAGATACCAAGACCTGTGCTTCATCTGAGAACAAGGTGAGCCTTCCCCTCAGCCTCAGGGCCTACAGGGCTTTCATGTGAGTGGGCAGGCGTGAGCTAACAAAGTGCTTTGCAAAGTATAAAACACTGTACAAACCTATGAATCACTAAATCTGCAGCTGTTCCCCGCCTGCCCCAGGGAGCCTGCCCTTGGCCGAAATGAGAAGAAACGGGATGGTGATGATGGGATACAGTGGACCCAGATAGATGTTTCTGGGACAAGAGATTTTACTCAACAGCTCCCAGGGCAGCAAGAGTCCCTGTCTGTGCTACAGGGCAAGCTGACCCAAATCCCAGAGGCCACAGGGCAGGGCCATGGCCTGTGTAGGCTCGGAGGCCAGGGTTGGTGTCTGACCCACTAGCACCCCGACAGCTGCCTCTTACCGATGGGGGCTTGGCAGAGAGCCAGCGAGCATCACTGCATCCACTGATCTTGCCTACTGACAAGCATGGTTGCCAGGCTGGAGCAACTGTGCCAAGGCCTGGGAACTCCTGTCAGATATAAAGGGCCTTGGGATAAATCATAATGTGGGATGGGGTAGGGGTGAGGGGAAACCCCTAAGCTCGGGGCTGCTACCAGCATGAGGTACCCTTTTCCTAGGAGCAGTGCAGGAAGATGGGCCAAGTGAGCTGGGGTGCCAGGGTCAAGGTAGGAGTGCAAACGTGGCCTCCAGGCTGAGAAATTGAGTTGCCTGGGGATGTGACTTCCCTGGTCCCTTACTCTGAGGCTATGACAGTGGTGGCTCTAGAACCATCTCTGCTTTACCTAACCAGTCAGGCTGAGCCCCCAGGGCACAAAAGACAGGCTGGAGCAGGGTGGGGACATTAACCGAAGGGGAGTAGAAGATGGTCACAACCTTGGATCTGCCTCTAGAACCAGGGTCAGCTCCTGCCCAAGCTGTTGAACCTCCTGCACAGGGCAACCGCTACTCTCAGGATGCTAGCGTGGCCTTTGCAGCACCATGGTCCTTAGTGCCTGGGGAAGGGCCACCACACTGGCCTCATCACCAAGACAGCCACCTCTAGTCGACCGAAAGCCTCAAGTAGCCTTTGCAAAATGGGACTTTAAACAGTAGTGACAGGACATTTAAATATTCACGACATGACAGCTGGGTCTTTGTGAGATCCAGCTGGGCCACAGCCTTGCCTGCAGCATGTGACCCTAAATCCTGGGTCTCAGAGGAGACCTGACAAGCAGAGCAGGTTTCCTGAGGAATCTGCTATTGGCTAGCAGGGGAAACCTAGGCTTTTGCCCACTGTGTTGGCAGCAGGGGCACTGTAGCCTTGGAGGATAGTGGGTAGGGGTGAGGGGACATCTGACCAGCAGGTGTTGGCAGAGGGACTGGGGTTGGTGGCATCTTGGGGCGGGGGGGCGGGGTTGAGAGCTAGTGCTGGCTTGCCTCAGAGGACTGGGTCCCAGCCAGGACTGGAGCTGCAGTACCTTGCAGACACTGCAGGATGCAGTGACCTCAGGGGCACCTCCTGGCACGATCCTTGCCTCATGACAGAGCCTGGCCTATTCCCTTGAGTAGAGAGTGGTGTACCCAGGACAGAAGGCTGACAGCTGGGTGCCAGCTACCCAGCCTGGGACACAGCCACCATCACTCCCTGCCCCACACTCAGCCTAGACCAATGCACCCACCACTTCAGCTACACATGAACCTGGCCTAGGGCCCTGCTGGCCCCGGTGGGCAGTGGCTAGAGCTGCCCCTCAGACCCTGGTGAGGAAGGGCCTGGCTGGCCAGACTGAGTAGACAGAGAGGGCTCTGGGCTGCTCATACCCACTCCTGGACTGGCCGCTTATAGTAGGTGACGGGCTGAGGACCCGCCTTGTTCTTGAACTGGAAGATAGTGTAGAGCAGCACCAGGAGGCAGAGGGACAGGGTGCAGGGGACAACCACAGCCACAGCGTTCACGGAACCCGGCACGTCGTCGATGGTCACCATGATGTCCACGTCATCCTGGGGCAGCCTCCTCTCCTTTCGCCGCTCTACCTCCTTCTGCTTGCAGCCCATCCAGTCGCGCAGGATGTTGCGTGGGTAGCCTGGCTCCACGCTCAGTTTCTGGTTGTCAAACTTCCAGTAGTCCCGACCTTTGTAGAAGTAGGTGTAATCTGCGGAAATGGGAAGGACTCAGGCACCACCACTCCCAGGATGCTCCTAGCACCTGCTCTGGACTAATAGGGACCTGGGCTGCTGCAGCAGTGTGCAAGACAGGAGCTCAAATTGGCACAAGTGGTGGAGGGTGGCCCCCTGGATTGGGTGAGTGCGGCGCTCCACCGATTGCTCAGTAACCAACACAGCAGAGAGGGTCCCCCAAGATGTGGGGCGCCCCACTTGTTAGTTCAGAGGTGCTGGGGAAACAGCAAGGGATTTTGAGTGGAGCTGGCAATGCAGTAATTTACGCTGCCCAGGCTGGATCGTTCTTAGTCAGGAAACAGCTCTGTCACACTGTCCCAGGCTTCCTATAAGGGTCAGGTCAGACGTTTGCACTGTGCAGTCTCCATAGCTCTAGGATCTCAGTCGAGCTCTCTCCCCAAGCCAATGGGAGTTGAGCTGCAGACACCATGGCTCCGCAGTTACAGATTTTTTTTTTTGGGGGGGGGAGTTTCTAGGCTTGGCATATATCACTCTGCAACACAGATACAATTTTTTAAGGACCCTTCTAGTGACTTTGATGACTAGAAGGAAAGGAGGCAGGAGGTAGGCCAGGAAGCTCTGCCAATTGCTCCCTGGGCAGCTCCCTTAAGGCTCCCAGCAACAGCCTTAGCAACCCAGGCAGTCTGCTGACAGCAAAGCAGCTCACTTAGACTCTCCTCATTGGCTGGCTCCCCAGGACTTTCATTGGTTGAGGTCTTTGATGTCACCTGTCTCTGAGGCTCCCCAAAGAGGGAGACCACGTGTGTAAAGGATCACATTTTAAAGCCACTAAACAGTGGTGTCCTCTGCCTTGTTTCTAGTTTACCTTTTGTTGCAGCCTTATTTTCTGTTCCTGGACCAAGGACCATGCAAGTCTTACTCACTGCTTCTGTCCTGAGCCCCTCCCACACAAGCTGGCTCTCAGTAATTACCAAGCATCGAAGGACTGACTCCTGTCATTTTTACCCAAACTGAAATGCTAATGAGATGATGAGGAGGGTGGCTAAAACTTTGACATAGCGTAGACCACGAATCGGGCATTATGCTAAGTGCTTTCTATTGACCCTATTAATCTTTTATCGCCCAGCCCAAAGGTAAGTGCTGGGATCATTCCTATTTCATGGATAACAGAAGGAGAAAAGTTCCATGACTTGCCCACTGCCATAGAGAGAGGTAGAGGGCGTCTGTGACCCCAGTCAGCCCTGGTCAAATACTTTTAGCCAGATCAATAGGCAGTCATGGATGCTTGCCCTGGACTTGGGAAAGCCTGAGCCTCCCCTGAGAAGCTTCTAAGCTGGTAGGGAGACCTGATGGCACAAAGCGGGGATTGCCAATCTAGCCTTCAAAACCCATGAGAAAGCACCTTTGAACCACCCCTACCCATCACTGCAAGGTAAGTCAACTATGTGAGCACTGTCCATCTGGAGCAGTTGTCTGCTGGCGAGTTACATCACTCAAATCTAGATACCCAGAGAATATGTGTAGGCCCCGAGAAACACATAAAGCTAACTCCCCATTCCCACCTCAGCTTGGCCCTTACATACATCCTTCCTTGCTGATGAAGGCCCCTTGCGGAGCCTGCGGAATGCCCTTCCACACGGTGATGGGCTTGGGGTAGCCAGGGTCTGTGGCTCGCCGCTCCTCACTGTAGCGCCAATACCGTTCGCCTTTGAAAAAGTAGGTTTTGCCCACAGGTTCCCAACGCAGAGCCGTGTCAATTCCTTCACGGGGCAGGCAGCTTCCCAACTCTCCCAGGCTATGTGGGTACCCAGGTTCCACCGTCACTTCTTTGAACACCCAGTACTTGTCACCTGCAGGAAAGGGAGTACAGACTCAGCCTTCAGGAGCCGCTCAGTGCTGGAGTGAGGTCCCACTTGCCCATCTTCAGTCATAAAGAGCAAAAAGCCAATCATAGATTTTTGAGCAATGTGTGCCATGCCATGCAGGCCCTCTTGTCCCCATTATCTTTGTTTCCATGTTCCGTTTTGAGACTTTTTTTTTTTTTTAATTCCCTGGCTAGCCTGGAATTCATTATGTAGACCAGACTGGCCTCAAACTTGCAGTGATCCTCCTGCCTCTGCTTCCCAAGTGCTGGGATTACAGGTGTAGCCGACCTGCTTAGCTACCCTCGTGTCTTGATCCTCTTTCATTTTTGGTGATCTGGGCCACCCCTGTGATACACACGCTACTGCCCCCCACAGCTGGGGTCAGGTGGACTGTGGGTTCTGATGGAACCATGTTCGCTACCGTGATGACCCAGAACCTCAGCGTGTGCATCGTCTTCGGAACAGGGGAGGAGTTAGCTGCTGTGGGCGAGCAGCCTCTGGATGGAGGAAGCTGCCGTTTCTAGTTTCTGCACTCACTGGTCAACTGTTCATAAGCACTTGGTTCACAAGGCTTTGCCAACTCTAAGCCTGACCCATAGGGAGAAGGTTGTCACTTTCCATCTCCTTAGTCCTTGCTGTGGCTGGCTCATGTCAAACAACTCGCATCACTCAGGACTCCGTCCACGCTTTGCATCTTTACATCACTCCGGGCTCTCAGATCCTCATACTCTTCCCTCTGCTGTGGTACACCTAACCCTGAGGGTAGAGCCCCACCCTTTACATCCTGTGCTCTCCCGTGGTCCCTGGCTGCTCAGAATCGGGTTTTCAGAGCTCCTTGTCCCTACTGGAAGGGCTCCATTTTCAGCTTTCATCCCCTTCCTACCTCCCAGCATCCCTAAGAGAAGTGCCAGCCTCATCTCTGAGCCCCTTCCCTTCCTCTCTGTACTCAGCCAGTCATGAGGCCCCAGGCTTCTCACAGTGGTCCCCTGCTCTCTGGCATGGGCCTTGTGGGTGACACTCTTTGAAATACCCTCCCTGCCTTACTGCACACCACCTCTCCCACGGTTCTGTGTTACCCAGAAACCTGCCGTGAGTTTCCGGCCTTGGCCTGACAGGTCCAGGCCAAATCCTGGCCCAGCCACCACAACTCCTCAGGAACTGCCCTCATACGACTTCTAGCTTTCTGTGCTGGGCCCTCAGTGGATGTGGGGTGAGCTTCTGAGTCCTCTGAGTGTCTCCCATACTCCATCACTCCCTATTCGGCCATGTTGTTCTGTTCCCTGAATGCCTGCCTTGCATTTCACTGTCTGTATTTTACCCAGCTTAGGCAGGGCCGAGTCAGGGTCACCAGAGTGAAACAACTCGGAGCATAGCTGGCCCCGGCTGGGCATGCCAGCCTCCTTCACCCCCTCTCCCTCTCTCTATCCTGTGGCCTGCTATGTCTGGGCTCTTTGAGAACTGAGAGGATGACCTTCTCTTGGAGTGCTGGGCGGTCTGCCTTGTCTTACCCTGTACCCAGTGTGGATAGAGTTTTTTACCCCAGCAACATTGGCACTTCTGAGGCTTGGTTTTCCCAGATGGTATATTTCCTTTCTGCAGGGCTCTGACCCTTCAGGAGTCAGTGTCAGCAGTGCCCGTGGAGGGCGTCTGTTTCCTACCCCCCTCTTCTGGTTTAGACAGGAAAAAGGAAGCCTCAGAAAGGTCACGGACATGCCTAAGTTACCTTTAAAGAAGACAAATCTTCCATCAGCCCTTTCATAGGCTGCATCTATGCGGGCGGGCAGGCCCTTCCAGAACTGCTCAATCTGCATGGGGTAGCCCTCCTGCACCCGGTTATTGCGCAGGCGCCAGAACCAGCGATCCTGTGGGGGAGAGAGGGAGGAGAGGCAGGTGGCAGGTCTACCTCTGATTTCAGTGATCTCAGCCCCAGGGCTCAGGCCCAACAACCCAGCACCAGCCCCGGGGTTCAGCCTCCCAACCTCCCATAGAGTCCGTCCATCTGCTGCCTCCAACTCCTAAAAGACAGGATGTAACTCTTCATTTAAACCTCCTGCTGCCCAAGACTCTGAGACACGCAGCAGATGGGTGTGGGAGAGGTTGTGGAAAGGCTACAAAGAGACTGCCAAGGTTTGGAGTGGCCACGGGAGGGCAGCAGAAAGTTACAGATAACTGTAGGGCTTGGCCCAGGCCTGGTGGGAACCCCAGCATGCTAAAGAGGATGCTAAAGCCCACACTTGCCTGCGAACCCTTGATTGGGAGGAAATGCCAGTGCTACAGTAGAAACATGACTCAGAAGGTAGTACAACCTAGAATGTTTTAAAAACTCCTTTGTGCGTATGGGTGTGCGCCTGAATGCATGCATGCACGTCAGGTGTGAGGCTGCAGACATCAGAAGAGGGCGTTGGATTCTCTGGAACTGGTTTGAAGCACTTGTGAGCCACCACATGGGTACTGGGAACTGAACTCGGGTCCTCTGCGAGAGCGGTAAGTGCTCTTTAACCACTGAGGCATCGCTCCAGCATTTTAAAAGGGTTTTTACAAAGCGCTTTCTGGCCCAGTTTTTAACATAGTTTTTTTCTGACTTGCACAGCTCTGTCAAGTCAGTCTGATACATGTACAGTCTAGGAAGCCAAGGGACATGCTGAAGCCAGTCGCTTAGTGGGAGGCAAAACTGGGGAGACCTTAGGGAAGAAAATGGGGTAGCCTTCCTCTGCCACCCAGTGTCATAGAGACCTGTTGTCCGTCTCCCATTTGGTAACGGATATTTTCCTAGTGGCTAGGATGTACCAGCAGGCAGCCTTCAGCTCTTTGGTGATGGCTTCAGTTTCATTTTGCATCCAACATGGATGGATGGGCCATCCTGGCTCCAGCGCTTCCCATAAGGGGCTGCTCTGGCACCAGATGTATGTCTCTTCAGCTTCTCCCTGTCTTGATGGGCTTCCTGCACCTCCCGCCTGCCGCTGTTGATTCTAAAGGTACTCCTTAACCATTCATTCTAGCTCCCTCTCAGGATCTGCTTCCCCACGGATACGTAGGCTGCTGTGCACTGTGCACAGCCAACCCTTGACTCAGGGCAGGCAACACGATGTAGCCTGGCCTGTGCCCATCACTCTTGCCCTGGCAGGAGGAGCTGTAGACTCTGCCACCCCCGACCAGCCACTGCTCTGCATCTTCATAGCCATGGGTCTTCACACACAGCTTTTACCAGAGGAATGATTCCCTCAGGTTGGATAGCTGAGGTCTGAGGAAGGAAGGTGACTTGTCCAAGGTCACAGACACCCCCCTATTCCATCCCACCCCCATCGCCAGCATTTTCCTGCACACTGGCTCCTTGGGAGCTGTCAGTTCACCAGTCTTCCCCTGTCACCTTGTAGAACCAAGCTGACTGACTTGTCAGTGCCAGTAGAGACTCTGGGTCCTGGCCACTCCACCAGCTCCTATCCAGGGCCCGCAGTGGCCTTATTACAGAGCAGGAGCTTGCCCCGCTCCATGGTGGGGAAAGGGACGCTCTGGGCGGCACGGATCCACTAGCCATACCTTAAACACAAACATCTCGCCCCGGAAGAGGGCCACCGTGTTGAAGTTGCCGTCGCAGATGTTGGGTTTGGCACCTGGAGTGGATGGTCGGTCCCCCAGAGGTGGCCGAGGGGGCCTGGGCTGCCGCTCATGTTTCCTCTCAGACGGTGAATGGATCCTGCGGACCGGGAGTGTAGGAAGAGGCCTTGTGGGCTCCAGAGGCTCAGCTGGGGGTCCTGGAGAGAGGGGTTGGATCTTAGGGACGGCCCAGAGCTTCCCTTCTGTCATCTGCCATTGCCCAGCTCCAAGTCCAGCCTGTCCCTCTGACTTCCTGTTCCCTCTCCCTTCTCCCTGACTTAACTTCCCAGGCTTTGAGAAAACAGATGGAGACATCCACCAGATGGGGACCTTCATTTTCTCATCCCCAAGTCTGGTATCTTCCCCCTTCTTAAGACAAAAACCTTAGGGCCAGTGTCCCACACCCTCCTTTGCTGCTCTCCTTCACACAGGCTAGATTCTAACTTCTGACCACTCTCACACTTGAGCCAGCTTCCACATGGCTTCAGCTCCATTTTCCACCCAAGCCACGTGCCAAGATCACTGGTGACCTCTGTATTTTGGAATCCAACAGTTATCAACTCAAACTTTGTTGATGAAATGAATCATCTCAGGAATCTTGGTAATGCAGGTTGTGACTCAGAGGGCCAGAGCTGGAGCCAGACAGCATGTCTTCAAGGTCTCAGGTGAAGCCCACTGATACCAAGATTCTGGAAGCATCTGCCTTGAACCTCGTTCCTCCTTTTCCAGGGCTCTGCACTCCTGGTTTTTCTTCTCTATTAACCTCTATTGCTAGAGGTGTCTGCCCTACTCAAAGACTGGATATTGTAGAGTCTCTTTTCCTCCTCCCCTCTCAACTTGGGCCGCTCATGAGGCTCACCTAGGAGAATTTTACAACTCCAGATCTTCAGAAAGCTCCCCAGATGGACTCACTCAAATGTTTGGGGTGAGGGCTGGGTGTCAGTGTTTTTTTATATAAGATTCCTAAGATGATTCCCAAGGACAACCTAGTTGAGAGTCTTTGCTCTCAGGGGCTTATCTGGGTACCTGGCTCTAGAGACCCTCAGAGCTGCCCTGTGGCATTCTGCGGCAATAGAAATGCTCTCTGTTTTCACTGTCAGTACAGTTGCCTCTGGCCACATGTGTAGGTGGCTATTGAGTACTTAAAGCGAGTCACTAGTTCTTAGTGGCTGAGGAGCTGAAACTTCAGTGTAAATATTATAAATTAAAAAAAATTTTTTTTTCAAGACCTGGTTTTTCTGTGTGGCAGCTCTGGCTGTTCTGAAATTCATTCTGTAGACTAGGTTAGCCTCAAGCTCAGAGATCCTCCTGCGTGCACCTCCAATGCCTCCTCCTCCTCCTCTCCCACCACCACCACTGTCACCTGGCTCACGGACTTCAATAGCTGTTTATAACTAGTAGCTATGTGTTGTGCCCTAAAGGCCCCCAAGTGAATATCCACCCAGCCTGTGGGCTGCAGACTGAGAAATCCCATTCTACAATTACAAAGTCCAGGGCACTCCCGCCCCACGCTTTATTTATTTATTTTTTTTAAGACAGGATCTTGTGTCACTGGCTGGCCTCAAACTCCTTATGTAGCAAAGGGATGAATCTGAGGTTCTGGTCCTCCTGACTCTACCTCTAGAAGGCTGGGATTATAGGTGTATGCTGCCACGTATGTGGGTCTGGGGATCGAATGTAGCGCTTCCTGTGTGCTAGGCGAGCACTTTACCAGCTGAGCTGCGCCCACAGCAAAGACAGAACTCGTGGTGTTATCGTGACCTGCTCCTTCTTCCCCTCACCCCCGAATCTGATCTGACAGTAGATCCTGGCCATCCCACCTTTAGAAGGATGCCTGCCCATCCTGCCTCATGCTGTTTCACCTGTTGTGGTCCAGGGCTTTGGTTGCTGCGCCTCCTCCAGAGGAAGCCCTGTTCCCATGCTTTGTTGACCACCATTCACTCAGATGAACTGGTCTTCCTGTTTCAACCAACCTGACTAGAACCTCTGCGCCAGCATGACCCATGGTAGGCTTTTCATATCTTGTTAGGACAGCAGGCTGGCTTCTCATTTGCCCTAAGATCACAGCTCTGGCTATAAAACTTGCCACCATCACTCAGGCAGATGTATGACTCGCCTAGGTTAGAGGCGCCCAGGAGTGGTCCCGGTCCCTTTCTGGTGGAGGCAGGTAATGGAGGACAGGACGTGACAGGAAGGCAGGTGGAAACGGGTAGGAAAGAGGGAGTGAGTGGGCCTCACCTCACTTTGCCCTTCCCAGTCCCAGTTCAAGCCCCCCTCCTGTAGTTTCCCCGTGTGCTAGAGGACTTCCTAAAGGTCAGAACGGAGACTCAGCAGCAGCACTGGGAGCTCCGAGCCCCCAACCTGCCACGCCATTCTCACAGTAGCGGCCCCCCTCCCCTGCCGCACACACCGTAAATCTTCTGGATGCCCTGGAGATCATCCTGGGGCAGCTTGAAGTTGTGCGTCTCCATGTATTGGTAGAAGGGCGCCATGATGGCACTGGGGTCATTGGAATGCTCCAGGCCCAGGGCATGGCCCAGTTCATGCACAGCCACCAGGAACAGGTCATTGCCTGCGGAGAGGGACATAGGAGGTGCCCAGGGCACCATTTGGTGTTAGTCAGTCAGTTCCTTAGTAGCTCAAGCACTTAGCAATTCCCTGGCCCCTGCCCTTCTGCTGGGGTATGCTGGGGAATCAGAGAACTCAAACACAGCCTTTGCCTATGTCGCTCTTGGTGCACAGGGGTCCATGCAGAAGTTGCAGCGGCTACACAGCGTCCAGGCCCTCAGGTACTCTAGCAGATGTAGAAAGGGTGAGAACTTTTTTTTTTTTTTTTTTTTTTTACGGTATTAAGGATCAAACCTTTGGGCCTTGCATATAACACTGAGCAACATCCCCAGACCTCTTTTTCTTTTTCTTTTGAGGTCTCGAACTTGCAGTCCTCCTGCCTCAAGTAGCTGGGACTGCATGGCTGTGCTACTAAGTCCCGTTTGGATTGGAGGAAGATGCTCAGGGAGGGGGCCATCAGGGCAAGGCTTAAGCTGAGTCTTGAAAGCAAAGAACTGGTCTGAAGAATAGACTCAGGGCTTGGGAGGAAGAGGGTGGAGTGGCATTCCTGGCAGAGGGACTGCTGCAAGGCAGGCCCAGGGACGAGCAGTTCATTCCACTTGGCTCTAGAACAAAGTACAAGGCGAGGGCCAGGGAGAGATGAGGTCAGCCAGGCTGGCAAGCAGGGCTCCGTGATGCCCTACAAAGGAATTTGGATCAGGTTCTTGGCTTTGGGGAGGTGTGGGGGTCAGGGATAGCAGGAGAGGAGGTGGGATGATGAAGTCACCCGGTTGCCACTGGAGGGAGGATTAGAAGCAAAGGAGGCCTGAGGCAGGTAGACCAGTAGGATCAGTTCAGAGGGTGGGGCGCAGGTAACGGGGGTACTGATGGGCAGAATCAAGGAAGCTGTAGCAAGACAAGAGAAAATCCTTGGGGTTTCTGGTTGGTAGTTATCTTCAGGAGGCCTGGTGTTGAGGTGAGTGAGGCATCAAGAACAGGTGGGAACCCAATCCTGGTGCGGGACCCAGGGGCAGCACGCTGTGGGGGTTTTGAGCACCCCTGAGATGGGACAGGTTGTCCTCATTTTTGTGCCACCCTGGCAAGCTTTCTGAACATGGGCCAACACCCGAACCTCAACGTGCTCATTTGTAGAAAGGAGAAACTGGACCTGCTTCGTTGGTTGCTGAGGACAGCATGGCTCACAGGGGTAAAATGCCCAGCTTATCTGGGAAGGGTTTCTCTGTTGCTACAGCACAAAAGATGTGAGCTGGACTAGAACAAGCCCAGAAAGGTTGGCGGGGTGTCAGCAACCAGATTCTCTTAAAGCTAGCTACCATCAATTCCTCTTGGGTAGGGCAGGGCCTGAATTTGTAGAGATTAAGTAACCATAGTATTGGAAAGAAATGCTAGGACCAAGGAGTTGGGCAGGGCGTTGTATCCATAGTTCTGACGCTTCTCTGCTCAGCTATGGGCTCCTGCTTAGTCTCTGGCATTTGTTTATCCCAGAAACCTTCCCCTTATCTCCCCACCCTAGGCATGTCTCAGTCCCTTTCCACCTCGAAGTCCACCAGGACTCAGAAGCGTTGCTGCCTACTCTGGCTCTAGTATCCCTGATAGAGCTGCCAGCCAGCCCATCAGGTCCCTGGAGGGTCAGATGAGGGTGGGAGTTGTCTGGCCTTTCTGAGTAAGGCCTCGGTTAAAAGAGAAGACTGTACAAGCCAGACCTAGGCTGACTCTCCCTTGACACCAACAGTATCACCATGAAGCCACCCCTTGATCAACAGAGAGGAATGGGGGATGGGCAAGATAATTGCAACGTTGGCCAGAAGCCTGGGCTGGCCTTCTGCTGAGAAGGGCAGGCTGACAGGAGAAAGCCAGGTTGCCCCCAGCTCCTTCCTCAGGTCCTGGTCCCTTCAGCAGCGGGGAAGCAGTGAGCTCATTGTTTAGCTCCACTCCAAGCAAAGGTGGCTTCTGGAGCTGGCAGAAGGCAGCTCGGCGTCCTGTGGCCTGGCCTGGCCCTGCTCCTGGCTTGCTGATCCACCTGGACACGCTGTTCAGGGCCTTTCTCCTGACCAGGCCTCTCCTTGGGATCATCTACGGGAACCTCAGCAGGGAGCCAGGAACCCCCGGGTACTCTCCGCCATTGTCTTTGGCTCATGTCCAGTTCTGTGAACAGTGAAGTCCCTTGAAGACCTGTGGGTTTCTTCCCAGGACCAAAAGGAAGAGAAGAGGTGGGAAGCCAGCATCCTAACACACAGACCCAGGAGAGCTTTGGGCAGGAGGGGGAAGGAGAGGGGAGGGCAGCCACACTGAGCTTGTAAGGGGACACAGAGTGAAGGGGGGAATGGTCAGCTATGGAGAAGAGCCTAGTGCCTTATATAGGAGAGGAGGCTCTCAGGCTCTTCACTGCCCAAAGGCTTGGAGGCAGGAAGCAGAGTGCTCAGAATATGGCTTCTGCAGCTCTGCCATGTTCTAGCGCTGTGGTGTTTTCTGATCCCTTTGTCTGCAGCGAAGACAATCGTGGCTGCCTTCCTCATAAGAACAGGGACAAGGATTAACGAGCCAAGGTGAAAAAAGTGCCCACACCAGGCCTTGGCACAGAAGTACCATTACTCATTACCACTGTTGGGCTGTGCGAGAGGACCAGTATCCCCAGTTGTGTGTGCTCTGCGTCTGGGCCTTGTAGCGTGACAGTTTGCTTGGCTACTCTAGTGGACGGCGCCTCTTTTAGCATGGATGTCCTCATGGGGATTCCCAGCCTCCTGACTGTGATAGCGCCTACCCCAAGGCATTTCCCTTCACCTCTGCCTTCTCACCGCTACTGTCCCCTGCACTAGAATATCCTCCTTCTTTTAAAGTTCACCCCAGTGCCCATAGCCCAGGAAGCAAGCCTGGCTCTCCCAGCTGGCCGAGAATGCTGCCCTCTCCACACTGCCAGCATCTCGATCTCAGGCAGCTTTAGGCGCTGGCTGCTGTCCAGCCCTCATTAATTACACGTTCTGCCCCAAGACTGAGCATCTTGGGGATGGTAGCCCCAGAAAATGACTCAAAGTTGCCTGACATGGCAAGGTGACAGCAACGCAGCACGGTAGTTTTCCAAGTGCTGTCCGTGGGCCACCTGCACAGAGCTCTGGGGGGCTGTTAAAGACGGGGCCATGTCGCTTTCACATCTGGCTCTGCCGCCTTCCAACTGTGTGATTTTCCCCCAACACCCAGCAGAGCTTCAATCCATCACCTGTAAACGGGAGATTATCATCCCTAGCGCCCCTCCGTGCCCATGGTGGGATGGGGCTAGTGAGCTAAGTGGGGAAAGGCTTTGTCCTGTGCAGAAGGGTATGGCCGTGAATGCTCTTCCTGCCTCATCACCTTCCTCTAGGAAGGAACACGGAGGGCCGGGTCCCCTCCCAGCAGAGCTGAGTGGGCACCTGCTGACTTCACTGGTTGACTCATTTGAAAGAAATGGGGGCAGAGGAAGCTTAATAAAAATGGCTTTAAGGTGTGGTGGACTAGCTTGCTCTTTTGTATACTTCAGCGGCCTTAGGGGGGGATGAGAACCACATGCACAATTCAGTGGCACTCTGGGGGGCCGTGTGTGTGCGCACGCGCGTGCTGAATGCATGTATGCAGGCATGCTTACCCACTGGGGCATGCGTGCGGAGACCAGAGATTGATGGCCAGAATGCTCTAATGCCCTCCACCTTTTCATTTATTTATTTTGAAACAGGATCTCTCAGCAAAACCAGTGCTTGCTGCTTTGGTAGCCCGGCTGCCCAGGGAACCCATAGCATCTGCCCATTTCTGTCCCCCAGCTTGGGGTTACAGATGCACACTGCCACAGCTGGCTATTACATAGATGCTAGAGATCCAGGCTCAGGTCCTCATGCTTGCACAGCAAGCACTTACACACTGAGCCATCTTCCCTGTTTCACCCTCCCTCTTTTCCCCCTCCCTAGACAGGGCTCTGTACCCCAGGCTGGCCTGGAACTTGCTATGTTGCCCTGTCTGGTCTCAGAACTTTAACAGTCTTTCTGCCTCGTCCTCTTGAGTGCTAGAATTTAGATGTGAATCTAGGAAGTCTTTTAAATCCTGGGACAGTGAGGATTGTGATTCAGGAAGGTTAGGTTCAGATATAGGCTACCTCTCTCTTCTGTCCTTCCTGTCTTCCTTTCTCTTTCTGTCTTCCTCTTTGTTAAATGGGACAGCTTGAATCATACAGGTCTCCTGATGTAGTGAACAGGACATACCGATACCACTAAGGAAAGATCCTACCCAAAAAGTGGACCTAAGTCTAGTCAGGCCTACTCTACACTGCAGTACTCAGGGATCAGGAGGAGAGAGACAGGTTAAAGGTGACCCCAAGTCTCATCAGGTCAAATGAGTACACTCAGCACAGTTTCTTCCATACAAGGCAGGGAAATGTGGGGGCAGGACGTATTTTAAAGCGCAAGACTTTAAAAGAGCCGTGTGTGATGAGGATTTTGATTCAAGCCAACAGGTGTAAAAGAAGTGTCTTTTACAGACGTGGCTGGAGAGACGGCCACTGGGTATTAGAAGATGTGCATGTATGTTTGTATGTGAGCTTACGTGTGTGTGTGTGTGTGTGTGTGTGTGTGTGTGTGTGTGTGTGT